TGAAACCCGAAATGATTTGTGCGATGTCGGGCTAATTGCCAACCGAGCGCGCTAGCCGCTGTTATTTCGACAGAATATGATACCTCTACACTTTTCAACCGTAATTTTCAGCGCGCATTGTAATCATATACATATCGTTTAATTTAGCTTCAAAAATTTGATAAAAAACATGTTATTCGTGTTGGTTCCCGCGGAGCGCAATGGTGTCATAGTTGCCAGAGGCAGAGCACATGCAAAGCCACCTCGATATAAATCATGTATGTAACGGGAAATAATAAAGTCAACCTTTTTTCTTTGATATTAATGTACGCAACATGCTGCGCATTTTACATTTGACAAAATAAGCTTTTGAAGCTAAATTAAACGATATGTATATGATTACAATCCGCGCATTTGTATTACGGCTGAAAAGTGTAGAGGTATCATATTCTGTCAAAATAACAGCGGCTAGCGCGCTCGGTTGGCAAATAGCCCGACATGGCGACATCGCACAAATCATTTCGGTTTTCAATCGCGAAATCCCAAATCGTAGCAATTTATGGAATATTTCCGAACGCCACATACACATGAAATGTTGTCTACTTTTAAGGGCCACGAACATATACTAGGTCTAGGAGATAAAATAGCAAAATTCAGTGAGGCTCGAGCGTTGGCCACGTAGAATTTATAGCTCAATATGTTTGCATCAGACATATGCAATCGACAAAGTTATTCGCGGCGTTCATGATAGGGACTATAACACTTCCAAAGCTAATAAACCTATATCCTAATATCCTATAACTTAGGACATTTTATCATCAAACAATACATTTATAGACTTATTATAAGACTATACGAAACGGAAACATTTACTTGTTATACTATAGATAACAGCAAAATAAGAAATTGTTTTATTACTGGAGATGTGTTGCGTTAAATTTTCCTGTATTTATCTAGCGCATAAAAGGAAAAAGTACGAAAAAAATATTAAAAATAAAAATATGAAAAATGCGTTTTTAGCACATTTTATGACCCACGACTTTACCCACGACTTTACCCACGATACACGACTTTTAACACACGACATATAGGGACACTCGTTTGTGAATTTATATTAAGATTGAGATTAAGATTAACACATCTACAGCGCAAATTTACATGTGGATATGATGACCTATGATCAAATGCGCTTTACATCAAGTATTATATGCTTGCCTAAGACTATTTTATCTTTACGACAATTGTGATAGTACTTAGTCTTAATTAATAACTGTGTTTATCCTAAACCCATCCCTGTCAAATTTCCCTGTGGGAGAACACCCGGAGAAAACCCACGACATTCGGCAGAGCGTAGACGGACTCTTTCCACATGAGTCTATAGTGAGAAACGGACCCACAATCTCAGACGTGAAAGGCGCTTGTTCAGTCAGCCTGACGACTGTCACCGAAGCCCCTATGAAGGACATCGATTTCGAACAATATTTGGCCACAAAAGTCCTCATTGCAATGACTGCAATAACATACATACATACATACATAAGCAAGCCATGATTATTGAAAGAACGAAACGAGTTTTTATTTGGTTATAAAATCTGCTCTTTTATATATCCGTAAACCTTGGCTTGTAATTACAACCTCGTCGCTCGTCATTAAATAGTAATGCCGTTCGTTTCCGGCCTTGTTTGCATGCGCATGAATTAAAGAATTTGTCAATCTGAAACATTCAGTGCCGTATCGACCAGTTTCAACAGGTAATCTATTACAAGTAAACTACGTGAAGCGTTCCTCTTTTGAGTTTTGACTTCCAAAAGGCTGATTTCCACCATAAAATTTTGAATCCTTCTATTTTTTAAATATTTTACAAATAAGTTAACAAATGCGTACTAAAACTTGCGGAACACTAAATTCTGTTGCTTTATTTATTTGGTTATTTCATAAGTAATATTTAAATGGATTTAAAGTTTTACGTGCGTATACGTACGTATATATGCCGGAAAAACGCAACAGTGGAAATCAGGGCGCTGGTGGAAATCAGCCTTAAAACTCATTTGGAATACGAGGTGAAATTCTGAGCTTTGTGTCAATTGTGACAGCTTGACCATGTTTAACAAAACATTAGTCATTACTAATTTCAGAAATATTGTTTTCACATTCAAAATAACGTGAAATATATTTTCAAATTCACTTTGAAGTCTTCCTCCGAAAATAATCACAGTATCACTTTCACGAATTTATTAACACCAATAACACGCGTTTTTTGGAATGTTTTCACGATCTCGCCCTTTTTTTCTTTGTCCATTTTTCTAACTCGCCATTTATTCAAAAATCCTCAAAACCTACAATAAAATAAAGCGACTGCTACGCAGGCTAGAACTAAGCCGGCCGTCGCGCATGTTGCCCAAATATCGATCGCTATTGAGACAAGTCACAAGTGCCAACCCCTCGACTAAAGGAATCGACCAGATATTAATCACTGAAAATCAGACGATTTCTATTATTTGCATACAGAATAGAGTGGCAAGAGAAGGTTTTCAAAGTCGATCATTACAGTTATCATTGCAGTCAAACGTTTAATTATTTACAAATTTTGTCGCACATCGCTGAGGCCCAACTAGGGGCTTTGGCAAAGCCAAAGGCTTTGCATTATTCACAAACCTTGTATTTCGGTTGCGGGCAGCTTCCTTCAATCTTAGGCGGTGTCTCGCATGTTGGCTTTGCTATCTTTCCCGAGAACACCTTATCACATAACTTCCGTGATTTGAATAGCTCAGACACGTTCTTTGGACATTCGGAGTAGATCTTTGCGCACGCCGTTGCCACATCCCCATAAGCATTATAGTCTTGACTACCATCTGCCGAACATTTAGGTGCGGCCTGGCCGCACATTGTTGTCTTGAACGCGTCTTTACATTCATTGCTGGCCAATGATTCCCCCAGTCCGTTTAACGAAAAATTTGTCAGTCTTGTCTGTTGGTTATAAAATTTCGCTGCAATCGCACTAAGCTTCCAAGTCACCGGGCAAGGCTCGATGCTGTCGACTGAAACACAACCGCCGTCGCGCTTGGCAAGTACATAAAGGTCGTTATCAGCTGTCGCTCTTTTCGAAATATCATGTGCCTGGGTTCTGTATATAACCAACAGAAATAAATACCCAGGTAAGGTGTATATAGCTTTCATTTTGGGATTTAAGAGATCGCAGACTATTAATAGCTATATATATATATATCTCACACAACCTTTATAACACACCTTTACTTCGGAAATGCTTTCAAAAGTGTTATGTATCAATCTGCATTTTTAAACAGCTGGGCCTAATAAGGAATGCAATATCATTGGCTGCTGCAACAACACTGAAACAACGGGAACTGGACTCAAGAAAAAACAGGACCCAGACACGAAAACTCTGGAGTCTGGAGCCGTCTTTGTGAACACTCCACTGCCTGGACATAATTTCAGAAAAGCGCTGAACTCACTTTTAACTTGCATTCCCCGCTAACTCGAACTAAATCCCATTTCCTCTGCACTCTGCATACTAGTTTTGACCCAATTTTTAAATTACAGTAATTCAGATGCAACTATCTGAAAAATACAAGGAGAAATTCGACGTTTCGATCGAATGACCTTACGACGTGAGCGGCAAGGTGGCGACGACGGTGAATGAGATTCATAATATTCAGTAAGAAAAAAAAATGAACAGTTAATATCCCACGGGAGTTTGAGATGACTTTTACGAACTAGTAAAACACGAGCAACCGATTTAGGGACGGCAAGAACGCTAGGAACGACGAGAACAGGAAAAACGCTAGGGACAGCAAGACATCTAACAGGAAAAAGAAGCGCTAGGAACAGCACGGAACGCTAGGAACAGCAAGAACGCTAGGAACAGCAAGAACGCTAGGAACAGCACGAGAACGCTAGGAACAGCACGAGAACGCTAGGAACGACGAGAACAGGAAAAACGCTAGGGACAGCAAGAACGC